GGGTTTAGGGTTTAATTAGGGTTTGGAGTTTAGGGTTTAGGCTTATCTGTAACTCACAGGCACAGCAGAAGGCCTAGGACGCATTCTGTGAGGTCGCACATCCCAAAAAGCCCTATATGTAGTGGGATGAACATCCCCATGATATCACCCCACAGCTTGTCACAAATATTCCTCAGGAGCCCTATACCTATATATATATATACCTCTATATATATATATACATACACACACATAGATAGACAGACAGCCTATAACTACATCACAGATGGAGCGATCAGTTCCCAAGGCTCGAGCCTCAATCCCCGCTTGAACGATAGGGCCGAGTGCTTCAACCTTGAATCCTGCATTCCCAACACGGCTTAGGGTTTAGGACTTATAGGGTTTAGGGTTTATAGGGTTTAAGGTTTATAGGGTTTAGGGCTTATAGGGCCCACAGGGGTAGAACCCTACTACAACATCCTATTGCCGGAGCCCGATTAAGAAGTCCCGGTCCTATCCCCAAATAAGAAAGACCAAAGCTTCCTTCACCAGGCTCCTATATTGAATATAAAACCCTACACACCCTAAAACCCTAAACCCTAAACACTAAAGCCTTAAACCCTTAAACCCTAAACCCTAAACCCTTAAACCCTAAACCCTATATTGAACATTAAAACCCTACAGACCCTAAAACCCTATAAACCCTAAACCCTGAACCCTTAAACCCTAAACCCTATATTGAACATTAAAACCCTACAGACCCTTAAACCCTAAACCCTTAAACCCTAAACCCTAAACCCTATATTGAACCATTAAAACCCTACAGACCCTAAACCCTATAAACCCTAAACCCTTAAACTCTAAACCCTATATATTGAATATTAAAAACCCTAAACCGCCCTGGGAGTTCCCTGGACCAGGACCAGTCGCTCCACTGCGGATGCCGCACCCCAGCCTGGGTTCTCGTTAAAGGATTTAACTTAAGCTACCATAATAGGGATCTATAGTAAATAATAGGGTTTCCTTATTATGGTAACTTAAATTCAATCCCTTATATAACAAGGCACCATAATAATGATCTCTAGCAAATAATATGGTTTCCTTATTATGGTAACTTAAATTAAATCCCGTATATAACAAGGCACCATAATAATGATCTATAGCAAATATTATGGTTTCCTTATTATGGTAACTGAAATTAGATCCCTTATATAACAAGTTACCATAATGGGGATCTAAAGTAAATAATAGGGTTTCCTTATTACCCTAAGGGTCCATGTACTCATATAGTATATGCACTGGTCTTAAAGTAGTCCCTATATGGGTACATTGGGCCCAAAGTATATAATATTTGGGTACATGGACCCCTAGGGTTATGGTAACTTAAATCATTCATATTATGGTTTTGGGGACCTAATTCCATAATAGCAGTATATATGGACCCTTAGGGGAATAAGGAAACCATATTATGTATTATAGATCCCTATTAGGGTGCCTTGTTATATAAGGGATTTAGTTTAAGTTACCATAGTAAGGAAACCATATTATTTGACTATAGATCCCTATTATGGTAGCTTAAATTAAATCTCTTAACAGGAACCCAGCAGCGCAGAAGCCCGAGAGCTTGGTGCCACTGCGCCGCGCCGGCGCACGCCGACAGGGTCGCGTTCCTTGACGGGGTGGTGGGGTTTACGGGGTTTAGGGTTTAGAGGGTTTAGGGGTTTATGGGGTTTAGGGTTTAGGAGGACGGGGGTGGGGTTTTAGGGTTTCGGGTTTTAGGGTTTCAGGGTTTAGGAGGCCGGGTGTGGGGCTTTAGGGGTTAGGTTGTAAGTTTAGGGCCAGGGTTTAGGGGTTTCGGGAGGCAGTATTATCGGTGAATCAATATGTGGGTGTGTGGGTGTGTGGTTGTGGGCGTCTCCAGACTCACATTGTTTGGGGTATTATTTGCCGAGGGAGGGCCCTGAGGAGCAAAAATACACACCATGTGCAATTGCTTAGAATACGGCTTTAGGTTACATGTACTTTTATGAAAAAAGGGACTGTTAGGGGATAATACTAAGTATTCCGACCCTAATTTTGATTCTATGAAGATAAACTTGAGAGCAAAAAGGCCTCGGTCTAGCATTGACCTGTTGTGTCTTTCTGCTTTGTTGAGCCTTGAAATCTCGGAAACTTCGATTTTCAAGGCGGTCGCGGGGCTTGGATGAAACCAACAAAAGATCACAAACACCTGCAAAACATAGAAACCGCAGGCTTTACTACTAAACAGCTGAAGCACCTTTAGTATAGAAGCAAAGACAATAACCGCTGTTGAAAACAGCTCCGGATTCAGCGTGATGGTGTTGGGCGAGAGCCTGGGACACGGAGCTCTGGATCTAAAGGCAGGGGGGCTTATGGTTTTACAATCTTCGGATTTATAAGTGCTTCAGGGCTCAGGGTGTTGTAGCTGTGCCTGTATACATGCCCAAAACCAGTGCCTGCTGCTGTCACAAGCAGTTGTGCATCAAATGTACAACCGTCAGGTAGGCCAGACTCGAGGTATGCTTTTGGCACCAAGGTGGGAACTTCCTGGCATGAAGTTCAGAAAATCCCTTTACAGGATATTGAATTGCCTCGCTCCAAACATCAAGAAGCCGCATTATGGATGCCGTAATCAGGTGGAAGGCAGTTGAAGGCATGTGGTTTCTAAGCCGTAAACCTCAGGTAAGCAGAACCGACTGGAGTTGCATGTAGTTTGCCCTGGGATGCAATACATAGCCCCGCCGTTTTGAGAGTCATACCAGCTGTCATACCCTTTCGTTAATTATCAGGTCACAACCTACTACTTTGTGGCTCCTTAGTAGTTCCTTTATGGGATTACCTTATAGGGTCCTAAATACCAACCACAAAAAGGAACTACTAAGGAGCCTATGGGTAGGGTTCTGGGGCCTATATTAAGGATCCTAAAAGGTAACCCCAAAAAGGAACTACCATGGAGACTTTATGTACTACTTTGTGGGGCTAGTCTGGGAAGCCTTTAACCCCTTCTTCTCCTTCTGCCGCCTCCGCGTCGGCAAGGAGTCCAGCAAAGAGAGGGCGGAAGACCACTGAGCTGCCTGGTCCACTGACTTTGCATAGAAAGCTTTTGGGGTTAGGCATTGGGGCTATAGGGCTTCGCGGCGTGAAGAATATATCTATATATATATATACATATATAAATAAATGAATGAATGAATGAATTAATAAATAAATTGAAAAATATATATATATATATATATACACACACACATATTTGCACCCTTTAGCCAACCTTAAGCCCTCAACGGCAAGAAGTCTCTTGAGGCGGCTTGAGATTGATAGGGCCTCCGGGCAGTACTTGAACACTATAAGGGTTCCAGATTCCAGGTGAGTGAGAGCTTAATCGGGCTCCTGGCTGAAGGTGTAGGGTTTAGAGTTTAGTCCAGGGACATTACAGGTGCCAGAAAAATCTTCTGGCCATCGTCTTGTGAGCAACTTAGGTCGTGTTCAGGAGTGTCTTGTGAGTGCGATGGAAGTACAATGTAAGATCAAGCTTCGTAAGCGGCTGGTGAGCAACTGGTAAGGAAGGGTCGGACCTCCTCCTTATCCTCCTCCTCATCCTGCATCTCCTCCTCCTCCTCGTCCTCCTTCTCCTCCCTGCTCCTCCTCCTCCTTCCTCCTCCTCTTCGTCCTCCCAGCAAAGGGCACGAGCCACTACGAGACACGAGCCACTTACATGCCACTTACGAGGCCCTCACCAAGCACTCAAGAGGCACGCCTCTCCCTTTCGCCCTCTCTCTATCTTTGTCTACGTCAACATATGCCAGAAACTGTAACTAAGCCGCTTAACGACTGAATTAGGCGGACCTGCAAGGGCCCCTGGAAAACCGGGCGATCGTTAGAAACGCTCATCCGAACAACAATGCGATCTGACGAGCTGATGACCCCAACTTTGGTGACACGTGCTATGTCCTTGGATTTAGGGTTTAGTTTAGGGCTTAGGGTTTAGGGTTTAGATGAAAGTGGCACAACACGGCTCAGGGAAACGAAGCTTTGTAGCACACTCACAACAACGAAGTGGCACAAACAACGCCCAGCGTCATACAGGCCAGGATCCTCAACCCGGAAGCGACACCAAAACTCAAAGCCACAACCCTCCTCTCCCACTCCCCTCGGAAGGAATGCCACGCCTGAATAAACGGCAAAGACCCGAATGGTTCAGGTCTTCTTGTGTTGTGGGCTTCCGGTTTCAGGTTCCCTGCCTTCACTCCAGAGAGTTCAATACCCCTTAATTAGGGAATATACCTTAAATCCTAATATTAAGGCCCCTATAGTTTAAAGGTATATTCCTTATTTAAGGGGTATTGGGCTCTCTGGGTTCAGGTTCCCACCCCTCACCGGGTGCCTTCTCACAGGCGCTAATGCAGGCTCCCACGGTGATGACCGTGGCTTGCAGGGATTTTGCATCGAGGTCTCCTGGCGGGGCGGCAAGGGCTTGCCCTTGGAATGCAATTTTCCAACAAATTACGAACTTGATGCTGTTGCTATTTAGGTCCTGCCGCACTGTCGAAAGTTCCTGTAAATTATTCGGGTGGTCGGCCGGGTAGTGGATTAGTAGATTTGATAGCTAGCTGGCTACTCAATCGATCAGCTTTAAAGTTGCACGGTACTTGTGCTTGGACAAGCGATTCTTTACATGCTACTGGCGGATTCTCTATGTATGGCTCAAGGAACGATAACCCACTAACACCAGGCTCAGCGCTTTTACTCACTGAGTGAGCTCGTGCGCAATTCCGTGCTTCGTACGAATGACTTGTGCTGGTAGACGGATAGATACCGAAACACGCGGTGTAGAGTTTAGGGTCTGGTGGATTTGTAGATGCCTATACAGCTCACCTGCTTCTGCAATTCAAAATCGATACGCAGATTCTTTGTGCTTGGCTAAACCCTAAACCCAAAACCCAACACCCTAAACCCTAAACCCGAAACTCTAAGTGCTTGGCTTTTGTTGGCCCAGGCCTCGCCTAGCAGAGCCAAAGCTCGCGTCCAATCCAGGACCCTCTCACAGGCGCTGATGGCAGCGTTGTAGCCTTTGGGGGGGTTTAGGGCTTTAGGGGTTTAGGGTTTAGGGCTTTAGGGGTTTGGGGTTTAGGGTTTGGGCTAAGAGCCGAATGCTGGAAACTTTCAGCGGCCCGGAACCCTAAAGCTGTTGTTTGTAGGGTTCTGCACGGACCAGGGTTCATAAACTGGGCTGGTTTTTTGGAGGTCAAGACTTTAATTAAAGTTTAGGGACTCACCTGCGCCCAGAAAACCATATTTATAGGGTTCTTCTCATGATGTCTTTACTTTTTTCACAACCGTAGGATTTTGGGGTGTTAATTATAGCAGCCATGTAAGAAACAAGGAGAAGCCCATTGAACTGAAGTTCTCCATTTCACGATCAAGCTTCAGTATCTTGCACGTCCTCGTAGCTACAACTTCCGGTAGATTGACCTAAGGGTCCATGTCGTGCATACTTCGGCAGTAAATTGACTCCTGTGTAGAAAGTTTAGGGTCAGGCTGTACAAAAATAGCTACATAGGACCTATACTTGCAAAATTTCTCTTCAAAGTCTGACCTCCCATAATGTGAAACCAAGGAGCTAGTCACGTCCGGGCACAGCTGCCTGACTTCCATGAGAACCAGCAGTTGCAAGGCTTGTTGCCATTCAGCGGCGCGAGTGCATGTGCTGATAGCTGCATTGAAAGCCACAGTGCTCAGGCGAAGATGCTGCACGGTCAGCTTCTGCAAGAGGCTTAGTGCCAGATGCCATTCAGCAGCTACCTCACAGGCGCTGATCACTGCAGCGTATGTGACTTCTGTGGGCTGCAGCAGACGATCTGTGATCTCTTCCAGCAGCATCAAGGACCTCTGCCACAGACCAGCCGCGGCACAGGCGCTGATGGCCGCATTGTAGGTGATTGCATTCGGGTACCTTACAGAATGGCAACTATAAGCACGGATACCCTGTACCTGGAACACCTTCGCGGGAAAAACGTATGCCATAAAACCCTAAACCCTAAATCTGAAACCCCCAAACCCGAAGTCCCTCAAGTAGTCCTCATTCGCGACCCCCTTAAAAAGCCTATAAGCCGTAAGCCCTAAGCCCCAAAGTCCAAAAAGCTGCCAACCCTAAAACTTTGGATACACCGTTTTTCTTTCGTAGCATGTCGACACATAGAGACCAAAGCTCTTCTAAGAACGAGGTGCACATGGCTGGATCTTGCTTCTCGCAGCAAACTCAGAGAAGCCTTCATTGCTCTAGGGCAGGGCGTTGCAGGTTTGGGTGTATCAGTATCAAACAATTGAACGCATGGCATCGTTCCCAAAAACCTAGAATAGTACCTCAGTGCAGGCAAAGACCTGTAAGCTCGATATCCATTGATGGTTTGTGGCATTTTCGGGCTAGAACCCACGTCCCAAAGCAGCGAATCAACCCCTGCGCCCCCAAGTCTCACTCCACTCGAACCTGACTACAAATTTGGTTTTTGCCTACAGTACATTTCTCAGCATACAAGCCTCTAATCTCGTCGTTCAAGCTTGACTTCAGATCTTCTTCCCGCCCGTGCCTGCCACTGCCCTGCTTTCTCGCAGGCGCTGACAGCGGCGCTCCACGAAACGACCGTGGCTTCAAGCTGCCATGCTTCCAGGGTGCCTAAGAGAAGCAGGGCCCACTGCCACTGGGCAGCCTTCTCACATGCACTGATAGCCTCGGCCCAGCTCGCAAGAACCGAAGGTCGAATTCCGCAATTTCCGCAGAAGGTATAGCTTAGTCAATGAAGAGGGGCCTATTACATGGCTGTGTTGGACTTACTTTGAAGACTTTAATTCCTAGGTCCCCGTTTTGGAGTACCTTAGTAGTACAAGTGAGAACAGCTTCTGTGACAATGTGGAGCTTTAAACCAAAACTTGCCGTGGAACTCAAAAAAAGGTACACCCTAAACCCGAAAGAAACAAGCACCGAACTCTGAGGCAGAGTTACTGGGACAACCCTACAGAAAGAAGCACCGAACACCCTTAGGCAGAGCTCTAAGGGACGACCAAGAACCCACCGGCCATTCGGGAAGAAATGACTTGATGCCCCACATGCACAGCAAGAAGCTGCTCAGATTAACGGGGCTCTTTGGTTTCCTCTTGAAACTGAGGGGATCTTTTATAATGGAAGTAGTTCTACCTCATTCATCAGGGTTATCTTGCAAAGCCCTAATGTTGCTTTCGTAAACCTCCTCTATAGCTCCGAGGTGCTGAATTCATGGTGATGGTGTTGATCTGCAGCTTGCTGTTCAATGCCTCGTCGAGCAGGCACAGAGCAAGCTGCCATTCACTGCCCCGGCCACAGGCGCTGATCAAGGTGCTGAAGGTGACAACACTGGGCTGCACCTGCTTCCGACGAACCTGTGCAGACTTGGCTTGAAGAGTCAGGATGTATAGGCTCTATAGTCGCTCCTTTTTTATGGTTTATATTTAGAATTCTATAAGGAAGTCCCAAACAGGAACTACTATCGAGCCTATGGGTAGGGGGCACAATCTACAATACCGTCGCTGGCCGAAGGATCCGTCCCAAGGAGCGTCGAAACGCGTCAAGAGGAAGCCTGAAGACTTACTGAGTCATTCGCCCTACAGCCGTACTCGCTTTTCAGCCCCGAATCCTGTACATAAAGCTCTAAACCCCACCCGAAACCCACAATTCTACGGCCGGAAACCTGAACCAAACAACTCAAAACCCAAACTACTAAACCCGTTTACCCCAAAACCTTGGACCCGAAACCCTAAACCGAACCCTGCGCCCTGAACCGAACCCCACCTCTTTGAAGAGGCTGAGGCCCTGCGCCCACTCGGATGCCCGATCACAGGCGCTCAAGGCGGCATTCGAGGTCCGCACATCCCCCTGCAGGGCTTTAGGACTATAGGGGCGGTTTAGGGGGTTGAGGGCTCTGGGGTGCAGGGCTACCTACCATAATTGGGGGTCGTTTCTGAAGGATTCCTAACTTCCAGGAGGGCACCCTGAATGTAGAATTCCTCCAGGTTAGGACTCCCAGCGCCTCCTTGCTGTTCTGGGCACACTCCGCCTCCCCCAGGAGGGCAAAGGCGAGTTGCCACTGAGAAGCCTTACCACACACCTGAGAGCCCTACACCTTCAAGACACAAGTACCCTTTGCTTCCGTAAGGGTCGCTTAAAGTCTCGGGTCGGAGGGTTGAAGGTCCTTTAAGTCGAAAGGTTAACTTGGGAAATTCGATGAGGGTATCGCGTCGTGGGGGTCGTTGGGATCAAGTCTCATTCGATAGACGATAAGATTTGACGCTCTCAACGGCGAAAAGGAGATTGCTGTCTGTGGGTCTCGGGTGTAGGGGGTTTTACGGTCCACGAGGCATAGGACCTACATATACATATATGTATATTATATATATATATGTTATTATTATTATTATCATTATATTGTTATTGATATATATATATATGTTAAGCCCCAACACATTCTTGAAGGCTGCCGTGAACTCTGCGGGCTTTGGGGCCAAACTTTGGGGCCTTTCCAAAGCCCCGGAAGGTTTAAGGCTTCAGCTTTCGCAAACACATTTCCAAGGCAAGACCCTAAACCTTAAAAGGCTCAGCTAAGCCCCTAAACCCAAAGCCCTAAACGCCCTAAACCTTAAATCGTCCGAGATGCCCCGAGACATGTGCAATACGTCGCCCCAGTTGGCTGCAGCTTTGCCCGGCGTGCCTCCGCCAACACAGACAGGGCCTCCTGGCAAACACGAAGCCGGATAAGGCTGTAGGGCGTTATAAGTGTTTTCTGTGGTTTGATGGGTTCCTTTTTTTATAAAGTTTCTACAAAGATGTACATGTCATGGACCGAAGGCTTGTAGGGTTTGTCAAGCCACTACCCTTTTCTAGAGCTTCATGTGGTCCGTAATCGTGACTATTTTACGCTCCAAGGTATAGATTCTGCAGAATCCATGCGTCAACGACCTGGAACTGTTCAAACCAAAGCCCGCACCGTCAACAACTACGAAGCCTGACACCCCTGCAGCACCCGAGCCCTAACAATGCCCTATGTCCAACCGTAACCTGAACAAACAACTACATATTTAGGGTCCCTCGTTCTGCTTTCCGTACACAGTGCTCTAAACCCCAAAAACCTTAAATCCTAAACCCTAAACCTTAACCCTAACACCTTAAACCCCAAAAACCTTAACCCCTAAACACCTTAAACCCTATAAACCTTAACCCTAAACCGAGTGCCTTAAGCAGTAGGTTTTGGGGGACTTAGGGAAGTCACAGAGCCCAATACCCCTTAATTCGGGAATCTAAATTACATCAAAATAGTAAGGCCCCTATAACTTAAGGCATATTCCTCAATTAGGAATATTGGGCTCTCTGGGTAAGGAAGTCACCATCCTGCCATGCGGACGATTTCTCGCAGGCGCCAAGGGCAGCGTTGTAAGTCTGGATGTCGGCCTCTTGAGAGCTTTGCTTCGTTTTCTGTTTACAGGGCTGTTTGCTTGTATGTATTTGTGTGTATGTATATATATACATATATATCTGTCTCTCTCTCTCTACATATACATATGTGTTTTGCAAGTGCTGAAAGACTCAACCAGGTGTTTAAGGTCTGTCGGGTATCTCAATTCAGGGGCTTTTCACGGGTGTGGGGTTTCAGGCTTTACGACCAGCGCACACCAATGCAAGTAGGAGAAAAGAGCGCACACTTCCAGCTTAAAGTTGACGAGAGCAGCTACTCTAAATAAGTACCTGTGAGGGCTAAGGATCCGTGAAGATCGCGCAGTCGCCTTCGGGAACATGAAGGGTTGCTGCTTGCATGTCTTAGTGCCGGACCTTGAACATGAGGGTTTAAGGCTTGAGGGATTCGGCACGTTGGGGATCAGAGCTAAGAGAAGATCCTCTGCCTCTCAACATTGAGAAGAAAGTTACGGAACCTGGCATGAAAAAACACAGCAGACGAAAGCCACCTCCCCTAAAACCCTAAACCCTAAAACCCTTTTCTTTCAGACCCCCGAAAAAAAAAAACTTTGCCTCCAGGCCGTTGGCTTTGACCTCCACCCAAAGCTCCTGAGCTCTCGATCACCCCCTACCAAAAACAGCACTTGGCAGAGGAGCTTTCCTTACGGACGAAATGACCCTTAAAAGTAGGGGCCCTATATACCCTTATACTATGAATCCCTATATGGTATATGAACCCTAAACCCTTTAGGGTTCATTTAGTCCTTAAGGTTAGTTGCACTCTCAGTAATTATATAGGCTCCATAGGGTTTGGAGTTTAGGTGTAGGGCTTAAACCGCTTGTCGATCTGGAGTTTGCAGGGTTCTGGGTTCTCGCGCTTCGGATTCCGGCCGCAAGGATCAGGCAGAGATGAGCAGGGGGGTGGGGTGGGTGTGATGTCGAAGGTCGCTTGAAGAGCGCATGGCAGCAAGGTGTACCGGCCCATGCGTGTAATTGACTGAGCCTGCACGACAATTTTTCCGGATGAAGATGCCAAAGGGCTGTTTTTGTGGGGTAAAAGGTGCCAGAAATTACGCTTCTCTACGAGTGCCTTTTGGAGGCTCTGCTTGTACATCCTCCTGTAAGGGGTCATAACCAGAAAGAAGCTCAAAAATCGGCGGAGCTTCGGGGTGCCGGTCAGTGTCTTCTGGGCAATCATGAGGGAATCACAAAACAACGCCCTATAGGCTATATGGACAACTACAGGACGCCGAAACCGCACAACCCCAAGACCACTACCCTAAACCCCTAAAGCCCTAAACCCCTAAACCCTAAAACCTAAATCCTAAACCCCGACACCACTTATCCGAAGACCACTTTATCCGGCAGCTAGGACAACGATCCCTAAACCTCACAACCCCAAACTCCAAACCCCAAACCCTAAACCTCAAAACCCCAGCCCCCAAACGCCAAACCCTGAAACCTAAACCCCAAATAACCCTAAACCCCAAACCCTAAACCCTAAATCCCAAACCCTAAACCCTGAACCCCAAGCCCTAATGGACGAGCTGGGGACTGAAGATTGCAAGGACTCGACGAAACCAAAAACAAAAACTCCCTGGCAGGTCCTCTGGTTGATGATATAAATCCTGCATTGCCCATACCCCAAGGGTCCAAAGGACCCAATAATCAGGTACTTAGATTGCGGAAAGCAGTTATGTAGGTTACTATTTGGCAGAGTATATGATTATTAGGTACTTCGACCCTGAGGGATAGGTGCTGAAGCTGAAGCCTACCCTTCCTTGGCACCTGGCAACTCCTGAAACCTTGAACCCTCAACCCTCCCGAACCGAAAGTTTATCTTAAAGAGTAAAACTTTCACAAACATGTATTATATATAGCTGTAGAGAAACTGTAAGGGCTAAAATGTTGTGGAGCTGCTTAAACACGAGGTCCACCAGCTCGACCAGCACGATCTCTGCAGTGGTGAACACCTGCCATAACGTCTGCCAGTCCAAAAGCTACTCCCAGCTCCTTCGCTACCCTCTGTTGAGGATTGAGGGTTTAGGGTTGAGGGTTTAGGGTTCTGTTGAGGGTTCAGAGCTGCGGACATGCTGCTTAAGAGCTATGACCCCCCAAACCGTAAGAATCTTCGCCCGCAAAACCATACAACACAGGCCACCCATCGAAATAAGGGCGATGCGATATTGCGGTCAGAGAGCACCAAGCGAGCGGGGTTTCAACCCCACAACTCTCTGAATGCTAAAGGCCGCTGCGTTTCTCGGTGGGAACTTTGCTGTTGGGGTTTAGGGTTTAGGGTTCAGGTTTAAGGGTTTACTAGTTCCCTGTTGGGATCATATTAAAAAATGATCATTTGTAATCCTTACTAAGGAAATATTATAACAAAAATGTAGAATATTGTATCCAACAAGGACCCAGTTTAGGGGTTTTCAAGATTCAACACGAAACTCTGAACACCAAGCCCGCAGTGTAGACTTCAGAGGTTGCGAAAAATCACGCCCAACCTCGCAACCGCCGAGGACCTCAAATGACGCTCTGGTTCTTAGCAGGGAATGGGGGATTGCGTTATCGGGACTACTATAGGGGACCTTAAGTTAAGGGACTATCATAGGGATCCATTCCCCCACCCTAAACCCTAAACCCAAAACCCTAAACCCAAAGCCCTAAGCCCTAAGCCCTAAACCCTAAACTCCCTAAACCCTATTCCCTACTAAGAACCAGGGAGTCAAGGCGAGAGTCTCTGCACGCTCGGAGTCTTGGCTCTCTTGGCTTCAGGCTCGAGTCGCTAGGGTTTAGGGTTTGTAGGGTTTTTATAGGTTTAGGGTTTAGGGCTTTATAGGTTTAGGGTTTTATAGGTTTAGGGTTTAGGGCTTTATAGGTTTAGGGTTTTATAGGTTTAGGGTTTTATAGGTTTAGGGTTTAGGGTTTTATAGGTTTAGTGCTTTATAGGTTTAGGGTTTAGGGGTTTATAGGTTTATAGGTTTAGGGTTTAGGGCTTTATAGGTTTAGGGTTTAAGGTGTTTTTTGCAGGTTTTTTGAAGGGTTTTTGCATGGGCCTTCTAAGAAACCTGCATGTTTTGAGGTTCCTTGCTCCTCAAAAGGATAGGCTTTGGTGTTAAAGTAGGGCGTACCCTAAGATTCCTGGGCATGTCCTGCGGAGGGTTTCAAGTCTACTGGTGGTGCCGAAGAGCTGGGGTCGAACCACTCCTGTCCCACGATCCTAAGCAACTAAACCCTACCTGTAACCCTCTTTACCTCCAGTTTAGCAGCCATTACCCCTTAATGATTCGTAGGTAGAACCCATAAAAACTGTAGGTAATTAGAGTCCCAGGCACAACCCCAAACCCCCATAATCTATAAAGCTGTAGGAATTAGAGTCCCAGGTAAACCCAAATG